TAGTGTCTTGACATGTGTGTATGCATGTGGAGGCTCCAGAGTGACGTTGGCTGTTTTCCTTGCTTTCCACCTTAAACATTGAAGCGGGTCTTTCACTTGAACCTAGAGCTCACTAATGTGGCCAGTCTAGCTAGATAGCTTGCTCCGAGCAATCTGCTTCTGTGGACCAAGTACTAGGATTCTAGGTAGGTTGCTACACCCACCTGGCACTTAGGTGGGTGCTGGGGACCCAAACTCCAGCCTCTGTGCTTTCACTACAAAAGCTTTACCCACTGGGACATCTCTCCAGGCCTCTATTTCTGAATGCTGTGCCCTGATAACAATGTATTTTTTAAAAAAGATCTGAAAGCTGAGCATAGTGGCACATGCCTTTAAACCCAGTAGAGGTAGACAGAACTCTATGAGTTCAAGGTCAGTCTGGTCTACATAGTGAGACCCTGTCCAGAAAAGAAAGGAAGAAAGGAAGGAAAGGAAGAAAGAAAGAAATAGGGCTGGGTATAGTTCAAGGTAGAGCATATACATAGTATACAAGAGTTCCCAAATCAACCCTCAGCACCAAAATAAATATATAAACTATTGAGAACTAATTTAAGCAGGGTGTGGAGGTACATGTTTTTAATTCCAGCAGTTAAGAGGCAGAGGTAAGATGATATCTGTGACTTCAAAGCCAGCTTGGTCTACATAGTGAATTCCAGGATAGCCAGAGCTACAAAGTAAGACCCTGTATCTAAAAAGCCAAAAAACAATAAAAAAAAATTTTTTTAAGGCAAAAACCAACTTAATTTATTGAGTGCCTACTATATTCTAGATACTACTAAAGATAACATAAACTGCTGGGCAGTGGTGGCACACGCCTTTGATCTCAGCACTCGGGAGGCAGAGGCAGGTGGATCTCTTGTGAGTTCGAGGCCAGCCTAGGCTACAGAGCGAGTTCCAGGACAGACACCAAAACTACACAGAGAAACCCTGTCTTATAAAACCAAAAAAATCAAGCCTCAAGAATCAAGATTTTCAGCTGGGCAGCGATAGTGGTAGTGCTTGTCTTTAATTCCAGCACTCTGAAGGCACAGGCAGGAAGATCTCTGAGTTCGAGGCCAGCCTGGGCTACAGAGCAAGTTCTAGGACAGCCAGAGCTGCTACACAGAGAAATTCTATCTCAAAATGAAAAAGAAAAAGGAACAAACAAATGAAGAATCAAGATTTTCAAGCCAGGTAATTATTTGAATCAAAAGACTATCGACAGAGAGAACATGAATTTTAATGGTTCAAAGGCAGAAGTGGGAGACTGTGTTGCACATTTTAAGAACAGTTAAAAAGCTGGCTATAGGTCTAAATAACCACTGCACAGAATGAGAATGGGAGAAGGGAAACAATTCTAATTTTCATTTCCAGCCATTCATTAAAAGATTCTTGGGGCTGGAGAGACGGCCCAACGGGAGTGCTGGCTGGTCTTCCAGAGGACCCAAGTTTAATTCCCAGCACCAAATGATGGCTCACAACCATCTATAGTGGGATCTGATGTCCTCTTCTGTCATGCAGGCATACATGTAAATAGGGCACTCATATACATAATACATAAATAAATAAATCTTTTTTGTTGTTTTGGTTTTTTGAGACAGGGTTTCTTTGTAGCTTTGGAGCCTGTCCTGGAACTCACTCTGTAGACCAGGCTGGCCTTGAATTCAGAGATTCACCTGCCTCTGCCTCCTGGAGTGCTGGGATTACAGGAGTGCACCACCACTGCTAAATAAATCTTTTTTAAATTTTTTTTTTTTAAGCAAAAATGATTTTTTTTTTCTTTTTTCAAGACAGGGTTTCTCTGTGTAGTTTTGGTGCCTGTTCTGGATCTCGCTCTGTAGACCAGGCTGGCCTCGAACTCACAGAGATCCTCCTGACTCTGCCTCCCGAGTACTGGGATTAAGGGCATGCGCCACCACCACCCAGCGCTAAATAAATCTTTAAGAGATTTTGATATAGATTTTTAATTCACTTTTTATATCCAAGAAATTATGAAAGAGCATTTAATGAGTGCTTGGGCTTCCTTTTAAAAAACAGATCTACTTTATTTTAGTTTTTTGAGACAGGGTCTCACTGTGTGGCCTTGATTAGCCTGGAAACTTGCTTTGTAGGCCAAAATGGCACTGGACCCAGTGATCAAACCACCTCTACCACTGAGTGCTGGGACTAAAGGCACGTGCCACCACACCCAGCCCAAGACTTAACTTGAATTGTGTGTATTTGTGTATTTCTGTATGGAGGTTTGTACTAGTGAGTGAAGATATCCATGGGAAGTGCCAAGAAAGTGTCGGCGTCCCTGGAATTAGAGTTACAAGTGGTTATCGGCCACCTAACCTGGGGACTAGAAACTGAACTTGAGGCTTTTAAAAGCAGTGTGCTAGCCATTATAAGACCATTAGTTCTGCTCCTTGTGTGCTGTCTGTTTTTTCTTTATGGTTCTTAGTTGTTCTTTTGCAGAGCTGCCAGCTTAAGTCATGCTGGGATCAAGAAATATGGGCCTTGGCGGTTCGTGTTCCTAGAGTTGTATCCATGCCAGTGGATGTCCACACGCTCCAGAAGAGAATTTGACATTGCTGCTGCTGTTGTTGCTGTTATAGCAATGGCAACTACCGCTGCTACTGTTTCTGGGATTACCATTTCCTAATTGGTTACTACAGCTAACACAGTGGAGACCCTGGCAGCAAAAGTAGCTACAACAGTTTATTAATCTTTCATTCTATTGGGCATGATAAATTTAATTCAATAGTTATATACAGTTTGATTGGCTTTGAAAATTATAAATTTATAAACTCAAGTTCCATTTGCTTTTGGGATACCATCTTACAAGGACTCCAATTTGCAATAAGGCTCGTTAAGGAAGGGAATGGCTCAGTTGCCTACTGGCTATGGGTGGGATAGGACCTCTGTTGGTCTTTTCTGTGTCGAACACACAGATTGCAAGCCCAGTGCCACTTTGAGATCTTTGGCAGCAGTTAACTGCAGCTCACACACGACTGAGCCTTTATGATAATGAGTATTCAGAGACGGGTAATGCCTAGGGGGCGCTCACCAACCTAAGACAGAGCGCCTGTGTGGCCTGGGCAGGTGTCCCCATGACCGGTAAGGTGACCTGCTGACGTCCCACGCAACCTAAGTCAGAAGCTCATTTTTTAGTAAAAGGGGGACCTGTAGGGTCCTAGCCCCTGTTTTGGATAACTGTTACCTTGCTTGCTGACCTTGACCTTGATATCCTCCCTATGCTAATTCCCTCCCGGGTTCCACCCTCCTGAATGCTTAAGGGATGTTCCTTGTCTGTGTATCCTGCATAATGGGCATAACAGCTTAGATGCAAGATCATAAAACATCGGTAGCGAACTTCTGCCCTCCAGGGTTCTCCCATTGTGCTGTAAGCCTGTATTTAAGACCTCTTCCCTCCATCAATAAACAGCATTTAGCATTAAATAAAAAAAATTAAATTAAATTAAATTAAATTTAAAAAAAGCAGTGTGCACTCTTAACCATGAGCCATCTCTCCGGCCCTAGCTTAGGCTTTTTAACATTGGTTATGCCAGGAACCCCTCTCTCAGTATCATTTATTCATGGTGCTGGAAATTGAAGGTGGGGCCTAAAGCACTCTGGTTAGGTTGCTCTACTTCCAAGGGAGACACCCAGCCCTGAGTAATGCTTTTAAATGAAGAAGAAGAAAAAAATGGAAACAGGGTCATATGTATCCCAGGCTGGCCTCAGTCAAACCTTGAATTCCTTGCTGTGGAACAATCTTTTTGTACACTGTGAATATGTGTTGCTCTCATCAGTTTAATAAAAGGCTAAATTGCCAATAGCTAGTCAGGAAGAAGTTAGGCGGTAGAGCCAGACTCAGAGGATGCTGGGAAGGACAGAGTCAACAGGATACAGGGAGAAGCTAGGGAGATGCGAAACGAATTGGACACACAAAATGGGATAGAGGTAAGAAAGCCACAAGGCAGAAAGTAAATTAATAGAAATGGGTTAATTTAAGTTGTAAGGACTCATTAGCAATAAGCCTAAGCTACTGGCCTAGCATTTATAATTAATTAGTCTCTGTATGATTATTTGGGAGGTAGCCTGCTGGCGAGATAGAGATGACTGGTAGGACAGAAAATTCTCCCTACAATTCTTAATCCTCCTGACTCCACCTTCTGCTGGGATTACAGATATCGGTCAACAGGCCCAATTTATGAAGTGATGGGAACTGAACCCAGGGCTTCCTGTGTGCTAGGTAAGCCACTCTCCACGTTTCATATCCTAACTGGGGACAGACTTACACAGATAAACACTGGCCAAAACTCACTCTTTTAGCCAGGTGTGGTAGTGTATGTCTATGATTCTAGCACTCAAGAGGCAGAGGCATGAGGATTTGAGTTCAAGGCCAACCTAGGCTAGATAGTGAGTCTGAGGCTGATTTGGGATGTTATAATCTAGTCTGTCTTTAAAAAAAAAAAAAAAAAAAAAGGTGGGAATGTGGAGATAGCTGATTAGACCAATAGACCAATCCTCTCTTCATTTCATAGGAAAAGAAAAGCTCATTCTGCATTAGACTTACTAAAAGCTTTGAGGACTGGTGACATTCTTACTTTAATTTACAGGGCCAGTTTGAGCCAGAGACATGCTCTCACAGATACCAAACACTTTACGTTATTTTAACATTATTTACTAAGGTTGTTCCAAGACATCAGGGGGGTCCTACAGCTGGAGGAAAAGCCTAGGTACCACTTACTTCAAGCACACTCCCACACCAAGGAAGAACAAACCAAGACAAGCCTTTGACTGGGAAAGGGTTGGGGGTGGGGGACAGAATGAAGATTACTTTACTTAATTTTTAAAACTCTTCAGTTATGAAAAATACAAAATCATTTTGATATTAACAGATTGTTTTTCTCTCTACTATGTAAAGCCACTTCTCATTTGCATGAAAGATAATCATACAAAGAATCTCAAATTAATAAACTCTTCCATTGACTTACCAGATTGGACACTCTAGGATTTTCTGCATAGCATGAAGGACATTTTGTACTTCTTCAATTTGAACAGCAGATAAATCCATTTCTTCCGGGTCCAGTGAACTTTATAATGAAAATTTAAAAACACATATAATTAAACAACTTTACAAGGTTTTTAAATACAGTAGCTTACCTGCCAATTTTCTTTTCTTTTTTGAGATCTCATATAACCCACAGCAGCTTTGTACTCATGTGTACTCAAGGCTATTCTTGAACCCCTGATCCTCCTGCCTCCACCCCCTTTACTGCTAGAATTACTGGGCATAAGTCATCCCCATGTACCCTTTTGGGGGAGTTTTCACTCTGTAGCCCACACAAGGCTGGAAATCATTATGCAGCTCAGATTAGCCTCCAATGTGTAGCAATCCTCCTGCCTCAGAGTGCTGGGGTTACAGGTGTAAGCTACCACACCTGGTCTATCATTCTAAGTAAGAGAAATTTAATTTTGCTTTAGAATTGTACCAACCATACAGCTGATGAAAAACATCTTCATTTAAAAAAGGAGGAGGAGGAGGAGGAGGAGGAGGAGGAGGAGGAGGAGGAGGAGGAGGAGGAGGAGGAGGAGGTCGTCTCAGGGTCTGGAGAGATGGCTCAGTGGTTAAAAGGATGTGCTTCTCCTCCAGAGGACCCGAGTTCAATTTCCAGCACTTATGTCAGGTATCTGGAAGTCTAGATCCAGGCCAGAACCCCTGCACACATATGCACACAATAAAAAAAAAGAATCTTGGGCTTGAGAGAGGCCACAGAAGTTAAGAGAACTGGCTACTCTTCAGAGGTCCTGAGTTCAATTCCCAGCAACCATATGGTGGCTCACTACCACCTGTAATGAGATCTGGTGCCCTCTACTGGCCTGCAGGGATACATGCAGGCAGAACATTGCATACGGAATAAATAATGAATCTTTAAAAAATAAAAGAAATTCTAGCAGTTGCTCTTTGTACTTAGCAATCTAAATTCTCTATTCTTTGATAGATGGCCTCTGAGGCCTTTCTTTGGTCTTTCCTTTCTGCAAGAAAAGAAAATCTACAGTGGAGTGACCAGATAGAAGCGGTAGCTATGAACTTTTCTCCAGAGTCCTGGTTTTCTTTTTCTTGCTTAAAATCAAAACCAAGCAGGGCGCAGTGGTGTCATACCTATAGTCCCAGTCAATGGAGAAGTTGAAGGAGAAGGATAGCTTGCTTTCTAAACTTCTAGCCCTTCCTGGGCTAGACAGGGAAACCAAACTCAGTCAATATGGTGGTGCAAACCTGTAATTTCAGCACTCTGAGGCGCAGGCAGCAGGATGAAGAGTTCAAAGTCACCTTGAGCTACGTAAGGAGTTCAAGGCCAGCCAGAGTACAAAAGACCCCGTCCTCAAGAACTCCAAAACTAGATGGGCACGGTAGAGGAGGCCTTTAACCCCTTCTCCCCAGGGGCAGAGGAAGGTGGATGAGTTCGAGGCCAACCTGCTCTACATATTGGGTTTCAAGCCAGCCAGAGCTACACAATGAGACACTGTCTCAGAAACTAACCAAACAAACAAAAAACTAAAACCAAGACAAAAAAACCGCACTTTTTTTTTTAAGTTACCCAAAACGAAACCTGCTGACGCTTCTCCATTCTAGCCCTCCCGAGGGTTTCCCTGTTAAGGCACTTAACCTCAAGACCCTCTTGAAACACGTCTCCCCTGCCAACAGCATCCATTCCTATTGGCATTCCTTTAAGTACTTCCCTTCGGTGAAATGTACATGGATTTCCCTGTCACACTTGTGCCCTCCTTTCCTCTCACTTAACCTTTTAGCCAGCATGCTTATACTGTCTTCAAGGCACGATTACAGCCAGGGCAGCCCCTCACACATCCCCTGCCTTCTTCCTCACAGCGGCCCCCGGGAAGGCACCAACTGCGCCCCTCCTGGGAGTCCTTTCAGTTTCACAACGTCTGGGACCCTTTCCTTCCGCCCCAGGCATTCTCCTACCAGGTAAACACCCGTCTCGACCTGCAGCGGCTGCCTTTCATATGACTACCGCGAGGTACTGTTCTGTTCCTCCGGTCTGTCTCACCTTTACTCCGAGCAAAACGTCCGTGCTCCCGAGCCCCGAGGCCCAAATACCGGAGAACCGCTCGGAAAGCGCGGAGTCCTCCCGCGGCACCAGCGGCCGCCGCGCAGCCGCAATTACAATTTATCTGTAATTCCCGCGCTCTCTGTTGCCAAGGAAACCGGCAGCTTGGGCGCCTAGGGCTAGCCTCTAGGAACACAAGATCCAGACACGTGAGCGGAAGGGAGGAAAAAAAAAAAGTAGACACTCTTTCCGGGCTCGGGATTGGCCGCCCAGTCTTTCCCTGTATGTCGTAACTAGAAAGAGACGGAAGAGAAAGAATTTTGAGTTTCCTAATAGGCAGCCGCCCCTTCGCAGCTACGCTTGCTTATTACGTCACAGTAATTCTGTACAAAGGGTCGGAATCGCTACCTGAGGCAGGAATATGAGCGCAAGGTAGTGCCCAAAGCAGCTGCAGGCCGTGGCAGGCCGTGGCCTCATCCCTCCCTTAGTCTTCCTGCCATGGAAGTCTCCAGTTTAGGTAAATAAAGGCTTGTGTAAAAAAAAGAACTACCAATTCCAGCATGCATTGCGGAACGAAAGGCCTTCTCCACAGCGTCTCTTGGAAACTGTAGTCTTAAGGAAAAGGAGCTTCCAACACCGGAAGCAGGCACGATTACCACAGCAAACGCAGTTAATACAGCGGAGTCCTTCTCGCGGTTATGCAGGCTAGCTGCTATGCATCGCAGCGTTCTGTTTTCATGTCTTGCTCACAGAGACTAGACTAAAAGAAGCTGCAAGTCCCAGGAAGACTACAATTCCCATCCAGCCCCGCGATCCTCGGGTAACTAGTCCTCCAAGGTCAGTGACCTTAGGGAAAGCAGAGGGCGGCCAATCGGCTTGGGAAAGGGGAATCCACTCCGCTGACATCTGCGCACTAGTTCCGCCCTCGGCCTGGGTGTTTGTTATTGTTGTGCGGTTCAGAGAGCTTCTGTCCCGCCCTTGCCAACGCAGCATTGACCAATCGGTGGAGTGGTGATTTTGAGGGACAAATAGTGAGAACCAATCATCTAATCGGAAGCTCTGAGAAACATGGGACTAGGCCTGGTCTCTGTCCGCCATGTTAGATTCACCCCGCAGGGATAGCAGCCGTGCTGGCAGCGAACGGTCCTTGCACTGGCCACGGGCAAGCGCCCCCCGTGGGCGGAAAGCGGGTAAGGAAGCCACTGCTGTTACCTAAGAGTGGGGTCACGTCGATCTTAGAGGGCTCGGGAAGTTCAAGGGGAGAATCTTGGAAAGAGGAGTGACTTTTTTCCGTCTTCAGGGACAGCCAGTCCTTTCAGTGGCCCGACGAGCGAGCCGCCGGGGTTGTCAGCGACAGTGGGGTGTGGATGCCGCCCGAGGGACAGCGCTCATGGCTGAAAAAGGCCGTTTTCGGCTAAGAGAAGGTCGAATTCCCCCAGTACAAGGAGAGGGCCTCAGTGGGTGGTGGCAGTGGCCTGGGGACGTGAAGTTCCAGGAAAACGATTACTGGAAGACTAGGACTCAGTCTTTGAGGAGAAAGGACACACGTCTTCCTCATTCTAACCCTTTTCTCTTTTTGAGACTCGATTGAAAATATCTTGGTCTAAGGACCTTCCAAGGTGTTAGAGAGGCGTCCTTTTCCCTTTTTCTCAAGCATCCGGCTTTAAATCGCCCATTTTAAAGCGTAGGTTCAGATTCCCAGGTCGGCTTTATTAACGTTATTTGTTGAGGTTGAGAAAATTCATGGGGGGAAAAGCTGACGTTTGTCACATGAATGTGAGTCGGGAAGACGTGCGTTTGCAGTGCCACTTAGGAAAGCTGCAGGCTTAGGCCCAGCGGCCTGACTGCTGGCTGTAAACCAGCAGGTAATAGATGGCGTTACCTGTACCTTTGCTATTTTCACAAGTTCAAGATTAGTGCTCTGACTGAAAGGATTGTCACACGTAAGCCAAAGTGAGGTAGGCCCTTTATGAAGGCCTCTATGTTGGCCAGCCAGACTCGACTCTCCCACTTCCTGTTTTCTCCCATTGACAGAGCAGCTGGATGAACTCCAAAGTATGGAAACCAATTCCCACTCGTGTAATTTGAGAACGGGGAAGATTAGTTCCCTTCCAGACAGAAAAGTGTGGAAGTGTATTTCTTGAAGTTGGAAAGTCGGAGTGCATTTCAGACATTTTATTTTTGACAAACTCAGTCACTTCATTTTCCTGATTTAAAAAAAAACAAACAACAAGAAACCTCTAACATCCTGGGGGATTGATGGGATTCTACCTAAATTTTAAAGATCCTTAGGAAGAACTGCATTTTAAGCAAATGAATGCTGGACGTCAACAGGATTGGTGCTAGAGACTAGTATTACTTTGGCAGTGAACTTAACTCTAGATGAAGTCAAGTCATGGAAAATTTGGATAATTGAGTCTCTAAAATAATCTGTGATTAAGAATACAAGGTTCTTAACAGTTGTATTCACAGTGCTGCATTCTGGAGGCAAAAGCAGGCAAATCTCTGTGAGTTAGAACCTGGTCTACACACATAGAATTCCCAGGCTAGCCTGGGCTACAGAGTGAGATGTCTGCCCCCCACCACCCAAAAAAAGTAATAATAATAAGATATCTTGCAGGGCAGTGGTGGTGCGTGCCTTTACTTTAATCCCAGCACTCAGGAGGTAGAGGCCAGCCTGGTCTACAGAGTGAGTTCCAGTACCACCAAGGCTACACAAAGAAACCCTGTCTGAAAAAAACAAAACAAAACAAAAAAAGATATCTTAAGGAACTAAAGAATTATTTCTTACAATAAATAGTTTTCATTTGAACACTGTTTCAAAGAATCCTACGTACTTTTGGTGCTGGAAATTGACCCCACATCTTTGTACATACTTGGACTGCTCCACCTTACTCTCAGTTCCCTGGACCAAATTTTCCTAGATTCCTTGGATAGCCCTGTTAAGGTCAGCAAAATAGTCTTTGTTTTACAGATTAAACAAGTGAAGCTCAGAAATAAACAGTCTTGCTCACAGTTACATGGCTAGTCCTGTGGTGGAGCTGTATCTGGGACCCAAGTCTTCCCACCCTGTTGGCTCCCTTCCTGTGATACTGGAAACATCTAGGACTTAATCTTGTTCATTTCTTGTGTGTGGAGCAAAATCTGGCTCTTTCTATGTGCAGATTGAAAATGTGCTGAATATTTGAAGAGGGGACTTTTTTTTGCCAATGTCTTTGCTACTTGTAGCTTTAAACAACTTAAACTATATTTTCCCTAAAGTCACAGTTCATCAGTAAGCAAAGTCCTTCAGTAAAGTCAACTAGATTTTAATAGTAGGTATTTGATTAAGAAATTGCTAACTTGCCGGGCGGTGGTGGCGCACTCGGGAGGCAGAGTCAGGCAGATCTCTGTGAGTTCGAGGCCAGCCTGGTTTTCAGAGTGAGTTCCAGGAAAGGCACAAAGCTACACAGAGAAACCCTGTCTCAAAAAACAAAACAAAACAAAAAGAAAAAAGAAAAATTGCTAACTCCTTAAGCCTGATAATGGTATTTTTTTTAATTTCCTCATTTTACAAATATTTATGGAAGAAAGGATGAACATTTTGTCAAGAGAGACATTGTCATGGAGCAAGTTTTTAGCTAAGTGGTAGAGCGACCCCCTAGTGTCCAGGCCCCTGTGTCATCTTCTGCGACACAGACACACACTTCCACTAGAAAGGAAGGAATCCTGGATAACAAAATTAACTCCTAGTTGCTAATTGTGGAACCTGTTAGGAGAGTTTTTGTGGATATGGCCAAAATTTAAATTCTTTCAGCAGACTTTTATCTCCCTCCACCCCATGTCTTTTAAAGACAGGATGGGAAGACTTGGGTCCCAGATACAGCTCCACCACAGGACTAGCCATGTAACTGTGAGCAAGACTGTTTATTTTGTAAAACAAAGACTGTTTTGCTGACCTTAACAGTGCTATCCAAGGAATCTAGGAAAATTTGGTCCAGGGAACTGAGAGTAAGGTGGAGCAGTCCAAGTATGTTACTTTCTTTACTTCTGGAGAGCTTTTTCCACAAGTAATTGTGGGAGTTTTGTTTTTTTGTGTTTGGGCTTTTTTTTGGGGGGGTGGGGGTTTGCTTGCTTGTTTTCTGGACACAATGCTCATTCTGTAGCCTGGACTATTCTTGAATGGACTGCCTACAACTGGAATTTCTTTCTGCCTGTGCTCCCCAAGTGCAGGTACCTTGTCTCTGTTCTCCACCGTGTTGGCTCACACTGCAGATACTAACCAAGCACTGGAATACGCACTGAAAACCTTAGAGACCTAAAACCTGTTAGGGGAGTTCTTGTGGCTATGGCCAAAATTTAAATTTTTTCCTTTTTTTTTTTTTTTCCTCTCGAGACAGGGTTTCTCTGTGTAGCTTTGTGCCTTTCCTGGAACTCACTCTGTAGCCCAGGTTGGCCTCGAACTCACAGAGATCCACCTGCCTCTGCCTCTCGAGTGCTGGGATCAAAGGCATGCACCACCACCGCCTGGCCAAAATTTAAATTCTTTCTGTAGACTTTTATCTCTCCTCCCCACTCCCCACCTCTTTTAAAGACAGCATTTCCTTGTTTCCTAGGCTGGCCTAGAACTTTTGGATTCCAACTATATCATCTTGCTTCAACTTGCTGAGTAATTGGGACTACAGGTGTGTGCCGTTGTGCCTAATGTGGCTTTTATTTTTAACGTGGATGTTCTGATTGAGTTTAACTCTATAGCATAAGTGCAAATCTTTATGGCCTAGCTTGAGCGTTAGTGTCTATTTCTGAGAAAGAAAAATTCTTGTGTAACAGTGAGATTTGGTAGATAACGCACTACTAGAGAGTAAATAATGTCACAGGAGGGACATTGTTTCTCCTGTTCACTATGATCTCCCAAATCTAACTTATATGTTAAACCTAATGTGTCTATGTGGGTTTTTAATCCCTTCCTCTTTCTTCCGTCCATCCATCTTCTCAGCCCCACCCCACAGCATGGAACCACAGGTTACTCTAAATGTGACTTTTAAAAATGAAACTCAAAGCTTTCTGGTTTCGGATCCAGCGAATACAACTTGGGCTGATGTTGAAGCTATGGTGAGTATTGCTTTGTTCTGATTTTTCTGAAAATATCAATATCAAACAAGAATATCAAACACAGATATTCTTTGAAAATGTGCTGATTTTTAGCAGTTTGTTTCCTAACTGTCAAGTTTGTCGTCATTACCATTTCTGGACATCTTGAAAAATTATTTTTGACAGGGGTTCAGTATTTGTATAGGATGTGTAACCAGGATAAAAGGAAGAAACAATTATGTTCCTTTAAACATTTTTAAAATTACATATATTTATTTTTTGAGAGGGAGCAAAAGTCGGGGTAAATTTCAGGAGCTGGCTCTCTCCTACTGTATGGGTCCTAGGTATCAAACTCAGGTAAAATTATTTTTTAAGTAAAATAGGATTTAGAAACATACTTATTTTAGAAATGGTCTGAGGGATAAGTTAGTGTGTCCTCCACCCCAGCCAGGCTGTAGGGGAATGTTGTTTGGCTGGAGAGCAGATCATCACTGCTGTTTGTTAATGCCGGGATAGGACTGGCATTTGGCAAGACCTGCCAGTAGCTTTATTGCTGGGTCAAAGGTTGGCTATCTTGGTGTTGGCAGAAAGCAAAGCAAAGCCCCATGGGTGTTTCTGCACCTCATTTCTCTAATCTTGACTTGCCCTTTGTACCCTGCTGGTTTCCTTGACTTGCCTTGGTCAATGTTTTACTATTTGGCACCTGTGTTTAATGTAACATTTGGTTACAGACATGTCTCCATGACCTGGTTACCTGTGTGG